CCCCCCCCCCCCTCGCCCGCACGACTATAATCAGTAAATATATATTGTGTTAAAAATATTTTGACTTTGTTGTTTTTGATGACATCTGCCGACTCTCGACTTTTTACTCTCGATCGACTCTCGACTTTTTACTCTCGATCGACTCTCGACTTTTTACTCTCGACTCTCGACTTTTTACTCTCGACTCTCGACTTTTTACTTTCGAGTCTCAACTTTTACTCTCGACTCTCGACTTTTACTCTCGACTCTCGACTTTTACTCTCGACTCTCGACTTTTACTCTCGACTCTCGACCCTCGACTTTTAGATACACTCTACATTACATTACATTACATTACATTACATTACATTACATTTAGTCTAGGACCTGTATATGAGTTTGTATGCGTTTCATTTAGCACAGGTAATCTCAACTGTTTTAGGGTAAAATGACCATGGCGGTCAACATGGCATATGTGCCAAAAGCTGAATCCGGGACGAAAGTCCTGAAAATGACCCCGCCCTGAAACGGCAGTGTCGACATAGCTCTAACTTCAGAAAACAAAAAGCGATAGTCTTTCTGAAGTGCTTATAGTGTTTAGAAGGGTTGCTTTTAGGGCACTGACACTGTTCATAAATAAGTTAAAATAGAATAACTGTCTCTGACACTCTGTGACAGCCAGTCGCTCTGTCCACAAATTAACTTTAATTTGAAAGAACAATAATTGCTATTTTAATATCGAATATGCTTTCCGTAGTTGTGCAGTACCAGATCCATGATAAGAATGACTGTCATGATAGGAATTGATAACGACCTTTTTCTGTATGTAAACGCGATAGCACCTGACTGGCCCTATACGAATCACTTGACTTTTTTCTTAAATTCCCAACTCTATGTCGAGGAAATACTCCTTCCTCGCCGTCCACATATAATTTGGCCGCATCCTTTATGATACCTTCAGAGTTCAGAAGATTACTGGTCGCCCAGTCTAAAATAGATCTTGCTTCCAATGTGCCATGATGCTGCCGAACCTGTCTTTGGGTGCCCATAACGCTATAAAAGCTCTCCACTATAGCTTCAGAGCCACCCATCGACATTGCAACATCAAAAGCAGTCATAGCTACTTGGCCAGCTCTCTGGAATAATGTTTCTTTCTTGTACATCATTCTAATTACTTCTTCCTCATTCACACTTGCTTTAAACGGTGTGTGATTAGCAAATTCAAAAATAAACACCTTTTTTGGTGGTCATTTCCTGCCTCTTTTTTGGAACAAGCTCCATTTTCATTAGCGATGTATCCACATCTGCCTTCAGCTGTAATAGAGCATTATTCCCATCTGGTACAAGGCATGCCAGGAGGTTTGCCATCATCTCCTTATCCCACACAAAGTATTTCAAGCATGCTTTCCACTCATGCAAAACACTTGCATGCATTCGCTCATCAAAGCGCTCGTCATTCAATTCTACAATGTGGTTTATGGCACACATTTCTTTGAAGAACAATTTGAATTCCTTTGCCTCATGTTCCTCCAATTCGCCTTCCTTGATTTTTATTCTGCCACTATCGAGCCTCTCGCCACATAAACGAACAAAGGTCTCTTCAATGTCAAAGAAATCAGACATAACCGCAGCACTTGTGATACACAATTGAACACGAGAATTTAAAGAGGCGGAAAGATCGCTTGCAAAAGCACTTACGTCTTGGGAAGACTCAGCGACAAGGCGCTCTTCCCAGTTTGTCAAAACTTTCTTCTGCGGTTGTTTCCCTTTACCCTGATTCACTATAATAGTTTCAGTTCCCACAACTTTCCAGCCTGCCACTAATTCGACACCATCATACGTAACGCCTACGTTCCTTTTCTTCGCTAGATGGTTCGTGGTTAAGGATATTCTGTCGGAAAAGCATTTATTTAAATGCTAAATTACTAATATTTTATATACGGTAGAGTAAAATATCACATTTGAAAAAGGTAACAATTTTAACATTTACTGTACCTTGGCACTTTCCTTCATTCTAGAAAAAAAATCCATATCCCCATTTTCATGACATTCCAGTGAGGCTTTTCGTAACCATTCGACCAATTCTTGCACCCAACGATATGCTTTCCATGGTGGTACGGATATTCCCTGTAGGCTTGACATAACCTTTGCCACCGCTTCAAAAACATCTGTCATTAGCAACAGGTCACATACAAAATCCTATAAAAATTCGCAAATTATACCACAAGTCATTCAATGAAACAATCAGAAGAAACACGTGACAAGTACAATATGTAAAAATACCAACCTGGCCTTTGACTTGATATCGCAAAGGGTGGTCTTCATCTTCCATTGATTGCTGATGATGCATTGGTCATTGCTTCAGCAAACAGCTTATATGATTTCACAACCCTTTCCCACTGTACATATGCCGAACTGGCAAATCTCGTTTGAGAGTACACAGTTGCTACAGGAGGTTTTACACCAAGCTGCCTTGCAGTAGATTCTAAGATACTCCGTCCTATCAAACATTCAAATCTAACGTCATTAAAATATTAAAACGACAAACGTCAATACTTAACACAGGCACAATTTTAAAGGCTAATGGAGTAATGAAGAGTCCACATGCATAAGGGTCCAGGCAAATTCAATCGAAAAAAGACAGAACCTTTTCCTCGATTTAAATTTTCTGCAAACTTGTTAGTTCTTTTGATAAACAAGGAAAAGAATTCTTGCGATGACCCTGTCTTATCTTCTTTAATATCGGTGATTGCCAGATTCATCCAATGCGACGGATCCCAAGAAACCTGCCTTATAAATGAACTTCCTTCCTTTAAACTTTGACTTACAGTTTCAACGAAGCCACTCGCCTGGTAAACCCCGTCAGCAGAAATGCCTGAAAGTTGACAAGTGAGAAAATATGACTACTTGCAAGCTCACAAAAAGAAGGAAAGTACTTTGAAGGAAGTTACATTATCTATCAATGACAATTTTTGTAATATAAACTTACCCACTAAATAATCAAGCGTTTTGTCTCCAAATTTTTTAGAGATTTGATCTAGGGCTTGCTTCGCGGATTCATTAGCTTTGCCTCCTTGTACATTTCCGTTTTTATCCCATTGATTCTAGGACATATGATTACCCCTTGATTTGTTCTTTTATTAACTGTGGCTTTATCGACGGCCATATAATAATGGGGAGGAAGTCCAGTACTTGGAAGACAACTAGTTAGCGCTGCTCGTGTTTTATCATTAATCACAGCGAGTAACCACTTTACCATATCAGGAACAAGTTTGCTTCACCTTGAATGGCCACATTGACCTATTTGGGCCCCAACTGAGAAAGCAAATGCAATTTGCTCCTCAAAGTGAATAGCTGCAGATTTAGCTTTTACTGCCGTCAATGTACTCTTCAGCATTGTTTCTGCCGCTTCGTAATGTATTTTCCTTAAATTTCTTTCTTCACTTTGCGCAGTTAGCGCTTTAAAGTGAGTTTGCCCATCTTCAGCACATATCATGTGCTGAAGAATAGAACTTTTCAATTTACGCCAGTATTCGCCTTCTCCGTTCATTAGGGATGCCATTGTTTCAGGACTAATATATTTGCCAGTACATATACTTTTGCAGTCTGATGCCAACTTTTTAGCAGCTTTGGCAGGAGTTAGCTTACCTGCTCTGTTTTTGTGCAAAGTAAAGCACGTTTCGCACCTCAAAATAGCACCACTTCCATCAAAATACTCGTCTTTATCATTACTAGGCATTGGATAAAGCTCTAAATCTTTTACACTGCTAACTAGTTCCACTATATTCCTAACTTGTTTCCATTCTTTCATGTGAGTGTAACTTTTTCTCATTTCTTCGCTGAAGTGTGATGGTGGTAATGCTGTAATTTTTGTTTTATTCTTTTCAGATGCTGCGACAAGATTATCTATCTACCTTCTTGCTCAATTTTTCAACCATATTTAGTAACTTTTCGTCTGTGTTAGTTTTTGGAATATTTATAAACTGTTCAACTCCACTTTGAACAAGGAACCCGAACCTACCCTCTTCTTGTTCCTCTACTTCTTTATCACTTTCTTTATCCCTTTCTTTATCAGAAGCATCTTCTATATCTGCAAAACCATATACAAGAATTGTTCATGTTAAGATAGTATCGTTTGTGTGCGTAGTACAGGTAGATGAAGAAATAAGATCTTACCTAGTGTGACATCATTAATTACAGGAGTAACTGTTTGATTTTGTGTACCAGTTTCTCGGGAACGGGAAGTACTTAAGATAGGCCTACTTAAGATAGGGTTTCCGGTTTCCCGACCCTACCTAGCTTTTGGACGTCGAAATCCCGACCCTAAACTTTTTTATTGGATCATGCTTGTAAGTGTTTCCACTTAGAGGAAAAAGTTTGTGGAAAATTGAAATTTGAGGCAATATTAGGGAAATTTATCTTTGGATGTGGAAGCACTGACTAAACAAAATGGTGTCCGCTTATTCGGAAAATTAAAAAAAAAAGTTTAAAAAAAAAGTTAAAACCGACCTACCCTACCTAAGTTTTTATAAGAAGAAACCGGAAACCCACATATTTTTTTGGCCTTAGATGTTGTCATACCACTTACATCTGTATCAGCACTTGTGATGTTTGGTTTTCTTCTAGGTAGAGAGGCAGTTGAACTTAATTTTCGGATTTCTGTTTGGACCAAAGCATGTTCAAAAGGCACAATTTTCTCTTTCATTTCTTCAATAACTAATTTTGGGTGATTTCGTTTTCTATGCCTTTCAATAAAATGAGATCCTCCTCTGGAAAGGATAGCAATTGATTTGTTTTTCAATTGCTTGTTAGTTGCACATATCAAGCAGACACACTTGTATTTGCTATAGTTCCTTTTTTTCACACAAATAGTGGCTGCAGCAGCAGTTGCTTTAACATTCTGCTGGGTTTTTTCTGTGTTTTTTTTTAGAAAAGCCATCATGCTCAATTGTCCACTATTTGAAGAACTACAAGCTTTTTTGAAACCAAAGATTGTTCTTCTAAGCATGCATCTGCTGTAGTCCTTTTCAAATTTGTTGTATTTTCTAACGGTAATAATGAATCAAAACTAGCATCCAGTTCAACTTCATTTCCGCTATAGGATTGTTCAGATTCTGAACTTTGGGTCTCAGACATTATGTAAACTGGAATAAAAAAAGACATGAATCATAAAATCACAACAAAGGTCGCTCAAATAAAATTATAAAATTAATGCATCATTGCATGTTATAAATATATATTTGTATTTTGAGAGGTATGATTCAATAATTGTAAATGGAGATGCAGTTTTTAAAAATGATAAATATTAAATATATGTAAAAATAAATTACTGATCTAGTGTATGGCAAATTAGTTTTGAAACAATTGTACAGTTCAAAATTTATTCAGCTAATAATGTTAATAACTTACAGCAGTATGTAAATAACATTACATATTATTTACACAGTTTATACAGTGTTGACGTATTTGACTATTGACTTCATGATGTGTTATATATAATTTATAAATAAGTAGAATAACATGAATCAAAATACCACCCAGTTAACCCAAAATATGAATATACTGTAGACTTTATAGTATAGCCATCATATATTCATATATGTAGTAATATGTAAATAGCAAATGTCTTGCTATTTTTTCGTATACAGGATACACCTGGATACTTGTCTTGAGTATCTGTTTTTTATTGTAAAAATGTACAGTTTTTTCAAATGATCATGAAATAGGGCCGTAAATAATTAAATTAGACAGTTTGAACTCACCAAAAAGGCAAAATACAGAAATACAAACTGGAATACTTCACTTGATCAAATTAACTCTGAACTATCAAATTTTTGAAAAGTTTTAAGTGGTCAGCAGTATTTCAGAGTACTTGATTTAATTTTCATTATATTGAATCCCAGATCTATAGACGGTAGATCAAAAGGAAATATTTTGTCGAAAGCGACAAAGCCTACCCCACTCAAGTCTACACACTCCAGGTACTTTCCAGAAATATGTTTTACTAACTTTTGCTGTTAAATCTATTTGACAAGTGATTGGGAATCGTGAATTATGCACCAGTGCGCGACGCCGCCTCCTTTATTTAATTTGTTATCTGTGCACCAGACTGTGCACCAATAAAGGGTGCTGTGCACCGGACATTCCATACTGGACGAAAAGACGATTTCAGCCATATTTTGCCGTCTTGTTTGCTTTTTATCGCCGAATCTCGCAAATATCATCCAGTTATTGTACTTTTACATAATCATAAATGGCTGAAGAAGATTTCAAAGAAGGTTTCACCCACTTTTGAAACAGTGCAGTGTATTTTATCTTCGATATTGTGTCCTTCGATATTTCGGCAAATTGCCGCCATTTTAATGGCTCGCCGCTTCTCTGCCCGATAAATGCCACTTCTTCGTTTTCATATGTATTTAGATTACATTATCCAAGAGTACTTCATTGTAGAATAGTCGCAATCCAAAAATTGGAAATATTATTTGTACTTGGGAGGAAAAAACCTCCCATAATAGTTGTCCTCGAGGGGCATTTCACTCCAAAAATCCCGTACATTTCGTCAAAAAATCCGGAAAAAATCCGAACAAATCCGGAAAATCCAACAGATTTTCTCTTCAAAAATCCGCTAAAAATCCGGGAAAAATCCGCTAAATAATCCGCGGATTTTTAAAAATCCGAAAATCCCGGACGCTTCGTCAAAAAATCCGGAAAAAATCGGAACAAATCCGGAAAATCCAACAGATTTTCTCTTCAAAAATCCGCTAAAAAATCCGGGAAAAATCCGCTAAAAAATCCGCGGATTTTTAAAAATCCGAAAATCCCGTACGGTTTTTTGGAGTGAAATGCCCCTCGGTTGTCCTGTCAGAATTCAAAAGAAGTAATTTAAAAGCACGCGCAAGTTCGCGAACATCCTCGTACCCAGGGTCTTTATCGCGAAAACACCTCGTGGGTTAAATAACAGGGGGGGGTGAATATTTTCACGAAACGTTTGTTCGCCACCACAGGCCACAGCAACCTAACTAAGTACATTATATGTATTGTATATTTGTGATTTATGATAAAAACAATAAATATTTGCGTATTTTTATCATCAATTATAAAAATACAAAAAATATAATACATTTAGTTAGGTTGCTGTGGTGGCGAACAACCGTTTCGTGAAAATATTGACCCCCCTGTCATGTAGTCCACGAGGTGTTTTCGCGAACTTGCGCGTGACTTTTAAATTATTTCTTTTTAATTCTAACAGGACAACTATACTGGGAGGTTTTTTCCTCCCAAGTACAAATAATGTTTTCAATTTTTGGATTGGGACTATTCTACAAGGAAGTACTCTTGGATGATGTAATCTAAATACATATGAAAACGAAGAAGTGGCATTTATCAGGCAGAGAAGCGGCGAGCCATTAAAATGGCGGCAATTTGACGAAATATCGAAGGACAAAATATCGAAGATAAAATACACTGCACTGTTTCAAAAGTGGATGAAACCTTCTTTGAAATCTTCTTCAGCCATTTATGATTATGTAAAAGTACAATAGCTGGATGATATTTGCGAGATTCGGCGATAAAAAGCAAACAAGACGGCAAAATATGGCTGAAATCGTGTTTTCGTGGGGGGTAAGTGAAATAAAATGTATTATATTTAAAGAAAACAATGACAATCCTTATGATATCAACAATATTTATATTAAATTGAGCATAGTTTTTCACCCCATGATAATTTTTTTTAGGAAATAAGAATATTTAATTTCTGCCAGGCATATTAGTTCTTTTATGAATAAATAGCCATTTTATACCTGGGGTGGTGCATGGTCATTTTCTTGTAAAATATTATACTATTTTAATACCACAAAAAGAAAGCCGTGAAATTTAATTCCCAGTTTCACGGGGATAAATATAGAGAGACGTGTAATAAATTGGATTCAAGTATGCGTACGACTAAGAGGAATTATTTTTGTAATAAAATTAATGATCAAGTTCAATCTAATGACATTGGACGGAGCTGGTCTCTAATAAATAACCTTTCGGGAAGAAAAAAGAAAACTCACACTAGTATCAACGAGATTATAGTCGACGACGTTGTTGTTTCTGACAACAGATCGATAGCGGAACCTTTAATGATTTCTTCGTCAATATTGGAACTAAACTTGCTTCTGAAATTGAAAATGATTCGCCAGAGGAGATGTTGGTGAATAATCATACTCCTTGATCTCTCAACCTCACCAGTTCTTTGATATTAGAAGTGATCCAAGGTATTGAATTCCCTCTGATCCGCATATGCATGTCTAAGGGGTGCGTGTCTATTAAGAACCTCAAGAAATAAAGATTGCCAAATCTTCCAACAAACATTGGGATTATCATGTATTGTAGCTATTTCCCATGATATTTGTGACACGTCAACTGAGAAAATCATTAATATCAAAATTTTTAAAGTTAGGGATAATCTTTATTTTGGATCCGACTTCGGGACAATAAACTTTCTTACAGCATAGATCATGCTATGATCAGATAGACCGAGGTGAATCACACCCGATTGTGATATGTTTCCCCGTTTGTTGGTAAAAAATAGATCGATTAAAGAAGCTGACGTTA